ACCTAGTAATGGCTGGTCGCCATGTGATGCAGCCACGCTTTGCTTTGCGTGGTAACAACGGCGGCGGCGCGTCACAAGTTGGGGTGCCGCCGATGTGAAGCCTTCAGTGTTTACTCAATTGATGTAAGTCGCAGTACAAGTTGGGAACTCAGATAATGTTTTATTTGGCCAACTATAGCTGCAAAAGCATGCGAGAGACAAACGCCAAAATAAGCTAGCTAAGTTTTTTACGTTGGGTGATTATGCCCTACCTCGTTATTACCAGGGCTAAGTTTCTAAGTATTACTCTGTTCCTTCCACCTCTTTTACTTTTGTATTCAACTGACCAGACGTGTTTTTTTTTCCGAAAAACACGCGCTCGACGAAAATAGACATCAATATTGACATATCTTGTAAGGAATGCATTCATTCACGTTTTCCAACTTAATGAATTGTTAATGTGGTACCTACTGCCCACACTTACGTCTGTGGGTAATATCAGGCGTAATGTTATGTTATGTTAATTACACCGCAGAGACCGACGCGCGGCGCCCCAATATTTGCGCGGTATTTTAAATTCAAATCAATGTTTGCACTGAGATTCCAGGCCACGCTTTGGACGTTCCATTTAATATTAATAGAAGCAACTTGAAGTTCGTGAACTGTATTAGTTTCCCACATACTGCCGGTAACATGTCCGTATATGGTATGTCATGTTTTGAATCATAAATTATCTCGACACTGGCTGATTGGGCGATAATTGATGCTAACCGCAAGCCCGGCATCATCACACAGATCACCGCAGACTGGGACTCATCTATTCGCATCAAACGTCAGGGTCACCTTCCCATGTGGAGCTGTTCCGTCTTCAGCCCCACATCCACCATAAAGTCACAGCGAAACTGTTCCAGGGTATCATAACATCTCCATTCTCAAGTGACCCGTGGCCGCAAACATCAATATAGACAAGGTTTACACACGTAACACACTGGGTAAGTACAATGCAGGTGTGCGTATTTCCTAATTCATCTGTATTTACTCAGATAAACCACAACTACACAATACAACTACCAGTAAAATAATCCACTATCGAAGTTCCCCATCGCTCGTAATTCATAATAATTCATATAACAAGTCAAACATCGCTCACATTTGGTATTTCCGCGACACTTACTTAAAATTAATTTGTCGAATCAAAAAATCCGCTAAGTTCAAATATTTGTTCATTATTTTTTGCTGATACTTGCGGTAATTCTACTTATCGACGATTGGATTGACTGCTTTGTGTTATTGTATAGTGAATGGCACTTGTCGGCGGGCCGCGCGCACGCGCCGCGCCGCGGGAACATCAGCACACCTGGCCGTGTATGCGGCCGAGGTTTAACCATAACCTGTAACTACAAAAACAGTACAGTGTCAGCAAAAACTTCAGTTAATTGATACAGCCATACTTTGCGGTTTTATGCCATCATTTTAATAAATACATGTTCAACAAGAACAACCGTTCTAATTATCGGTTTCGATTTTTGGAATGGCGGTAAAGTCCGCGACCCGCAACTATTGCTTACTTATTTATCGTTTATTGCCACACCACGACGTGACCGTTGCCCCCAACACAGTGGTCAATATACTATACTTCGGTATAGGTAGGCAGGTACTCTCACCAATATATACATAGGTTAGGTAGGACCAGTGCCGGACTTATATTGTTTATGAGTGTAAGCCAATTGTTTCCGCCGCCCCATGTACCTACTTTTATTTTTGAGGAGGAAAATCATCTAATGACTTCTCTCCTGCTGCTGTGGTAGTGTCTGACTCTTACTGACTAAAAACCAGCCCGTAACTAAATCACCATAATAAAAATAATTAACGTGTTTGACTTTTACCATCTTAAATCGAGTGACCGTCCTCTAAAATCTGCCGCCCCTAGGACACTGCCGCCCCTAGGCCGCGGCCTATACGGCCTATTTATAACTCCAGCACTGGGTAGGACCTAGATAGGTACACACAAGGGTTACTTTTCGCATTACTTGTTATCGACTAAAGCAATAAAATGTAGTCAACTTGTTCTGTTAAAGCTTCAACGGCACTTGCACTGCGAGTTGCGCGACGGTGGGTTTTCCCGATCAAACTTTCCTTTAGCCTTGGCTTTCACTGGTTCCCAAGAAAGTTACTAGCTTGCGAACATAAAGACGTCATCAATATCTGTGTAAAGCCAGCGTCCGTGACACAACCACTTATGGGTGACTGATTCTGGTAACATATGGAGTAATTTTCAGTAGGTTGTACTTTGGTATACCTACTAAATATTAGTTAGAATATTAATTGTATGATCAGGTAGTTACAATATAAATTAATTAAACTTGGTTGTTATATCATTTGTTTAATTATAATTTATTATAAGTATCCTGAATACGTGCTAGTTATTTGTGGTGTAGATAACGTGTCAAGTTTACCTCAAGTTACATCATAAACGAAGCGGATATTTATTGCCATCTTTGTAATTAAGAGCCTGTAGATACAAGATACAACAGTATGAGATCAAATAGATTCAGGATTATGATAACAAGAGTATGTTATTGTATCTAGAACTCTGGAATGGTTAGATGAAAATGATTCAGAAGACTGAAGAATAGAAAGATTTACCTACCCATCTGTATGTGGTAGAAAAGTAGCAGTAATGAATCCCGCATCGGGTGACCGACAACTGACAAAATTAAAGAGTCGTGTGTACACAGTGGGCGCCCTGCATAGGTCTTACTTGTCAGTGATCATCTCAGAGCGAACACCAGCACGTACTGGTGCACGTCAAGGAACACGAGGTACATTTGAGACACGCCCTAAAGAAAATCGCCTATCAAGTCTGTACAAATTCTCTGCTTAGAGAGTAGTCGCAAGGTTACGGTGCAAAAAGGGGTTCCGTTTATTTAAAAATGTTTTAGTTATTAGGTCCACTTGATTACAAATTAAGTTAAGGTCCATCTTAGACTAATTTTTGAAAAGAATTTTCTACGGGCTTCGCGCATGTTTAACTCTAACTAGGACAGCCAGTCGTGCACCCTGTGTTTCGGACCCGGGCCGGCAAGTGGTCCGGTAAACGAACTATTCCGGATGTGGAGTTGTGAACCCGGACACGATAACTGGCAGTTTGTTAATTGCTCGCTCAGAGCCGCTCAGGTCGTCTGTCAAGTGGTCCAAGTGGTCCACAGGTCCAGTTATGTTGTGATGCTGCCACGAGTATGGTTCGTCGAACGCAAGTTTACAGGTTCCTTAATTTCATTTAAAGATTTTTTCATCGAGGTCACGAGGTCGGCCAAAAAAGCAATTAAGTATTTTGATATTACCGAAATCAGTATTGATACCTATACCTATACCAAGCACAACTAGTTTTTGTTTTGAATAAATTAAGTAAGAAACTGTGTTTTGAAAAGGTTGAAGAAGTTTTTGTGCTTCTTCCATAATTTGTAAGAAGGTATTGGTTTAAAGTGTGTGTGGAGTGAACCCGGCGCGGCTCGGAGGTACAGTACACTACAGTGGGTTTATAAAAAGAAACGTATCATGCGGTCGGTAATGGCCGCAGTTCCTGAACTTGAGTGATTTTGTGGTTTCGTCCGAGCGACCCATCGAGTGCCTGACCTTACAAGCGTGTCACAGACGACACCGAAGCTTCGAGTAGTTTTCTATATTTAAGCGTTCAAGTGTGTTTATATCATTGTCTTTTTTGTATATACATTTTCAGTATAGGTAACGGGGAGGAACCTTCAAAAGGCGCCTAGTTTTTTTGGGGATAATAAACTAGGGAGTGTGGGATTCTTACATCACTAAATAAAACCACCCGGTGACCACCGTCATCACTTATGGAGGGCACCGAGTCCTCTATAATAGACCTGCTCTGGAACCCCCCGGTGTATCGGCACATCCCAACAGAGATGTGCATCACTCTTAAGCTTCACAAACAGGTACCACCTAGTATGACACTAGCTTCCAATAAGTCAGGAAGTACCTAGTATCTAACTAACTACTATATATAATATTATATTAATATTTCAAACTTTAGTCCATACTCATATCTAATATTTAGTGGCTTCTCGTTATGATGTTACTTTTAAATCTTTTAATATATCAAAATTAAACTAAGGGCGAGGGCTGACTTTACCAACGCCAGATTTTATTGGAGGAATAATTTTGAATATTTCACAAAACAATGCTTTCATACTAAAAACTGTCAAATGTCATTTATATTTATATTCTACATATATCTGTAATTGAAAATCAACTCTAAATAAATAAATACAATGGTAATTGGTAAGATAAGAACCCAATCATATAAGTAGGTATAAGTTTTCAGGAAACATTACGGTTACATATATTTCAAACATAAAAATAATCTGAATTGAGCTGCAAATTGCAAGTAATACAGCACGTACTCGTTACAAATGCATTGTGTATAACAATCATTTAATTTAATAGGTAAATGCTACAATTGTTTTTATTACTGATTGTGGCGCGACTCGACCACAACATTTTACATAAAGTAACGCCATCTAGTTTAGTACTTAAGAACTAAAATTCTAAACTTTTACACACGATTACATTTGATAGGTATTAAAATAAAATAATAAAGCAATTTATTTACTATTTTATTTGCATAAAATATTTATACATTTCATTGTCATGAAAATTAAATACTTATCACTGATTTCTTTTATTAGCACTTGGGAACATTTTCGCATTTATTCTTAAATTACATTACATACGTTCCGGTGATGGATTTATATTAATTTTTAATGACTTGAACTACGTATCTGTTTCTTCTCAAATAACTGCGGTACTTACTATGAATCTATGAAATGATGACACTATGAAAATTAAATACATACACCTATCACTGATTTCTTTTATAGCTTCTTGGGAACAATTTCACACAAATTATTATTATATTAATTCACATGAATGCATTTATAATTGTAACAATTTGAATAAATTTTCTGTTTCTTCTCCACTCACTAAGTTTGTGTAAGTTAGTTATGTTTGTATGTGAAGACCTCGTAGTCGCGCACGGTGAAGTTGTAGTCGGCGGCGAGCGAGGCGGGCGCGAGCTGGTCGCCGTACGAGTGCAGGTTGCTGTAGCTCTCGCTGTTCGTGTTGCAGTTGCTCGAGATCAACAGGTCTGCGCCCGCGCCGAATATTGGGCCACAACTATTTATAGGACATAATAAACGTTTGTGTTAGGGACACAGCAGCGCTCTCTGATTACAAATCTGAAACTTTTAGTGCCTTTTCACACGTTCCCGTTGTCGGGTAGCCGGCACCGGTTACCTGTACTCGCAGTCTACACAAATTACGCCGGTACGTGTGAAAGCTATAGTACATGGCTATACACTGCGCTACCTGGCAACCGGAACTTGTGAAAAGGAACTTAAACTGCGACTTCTAACACCCAAGCCAAGCGTCATGGCAAATCATCTCATGTAGAGTCGGCCTCAAGTCCGTCCACACAGGATGTGGATGATGATGAGGTGTTACAGTGAGGATCAAAGTCCAGTTGTGGACTGTTAACGGGTTGTTAATGGTGAAGGAATGTGACGGACACTGAAACCGCACGAGAAATAGTGTTCTCTAAAGAGTCTGAGTCTGAATACTTACTCGGGGTGGTAGCAGAGTGCGAACGCCTTCTTGAGCAGTGTGTACCGCGCGGGGGGCTCGCTGAGCGCGAACAAGAAGGCGCGCTCGGCCGGGATGTACCCGCCCGCGCCGCCCGCCGCCCAGCTCGCCTCGCTGTACCCGCCGATCACCTCGCCGCGGGAGCACTGCACCACACACCACGCCAAATACTCTCATAACTTATTTTAAGACTTTGGGTAAGGCAAGTGGGTATAAATGAATGGACTGTCTAACTGTCTCTTGGAGATAGCGAGTCACCTTGAAGGTGACATCTAGTTAAAGATTGTTATAAACATTAGGTTATTTGTCTTTAGGTTGACTGGTAGAGACTGCCATAGGTACTACACTTGTGTACCTCCTCAATGGCGTTCATTCCGTCTTAAAACCTTCGAATAAATGTTTATTCTTTCTTAAGATTTATCATTTTGTAAACATTAAAGTTTAAATAAATATTGTTTAACTGCACCTGCACCAGTAGTAAGACGGGCGCCACACCATCACAGTGCGAGTGGAAGGCCTGCGCGGAGTACCCGTGCGTGGACGCGCGGAATATCAGACGCCACGACTGCTTCGGAGTACCACACCTGAACACAATGAACCACTATTATGATATCGCAACTTCGAGACTAGATAAATACATATTATTATGTATAAGTTATTAGAATTATAATGTTTACCAGTTGTTGATAACAGCTTGGAAGGCACTCTTCTCTTGCTGCAGTATCAATGACCCGGTGAACATGTTCACAGCCAAACTAAAATGTAAATAAAAAACAAAATTTTAGTACATAGACTGATTGATGTGCAACGTCTGAGGAGAGCAAACTTGTCTTAGACGAGAGTTAACTCATCGTAACCCACCATTTCGAACCCTTTTGATGATATAGCAGCTAGGGCTTTATGCAACTCAGCATTTACTCAATTTACAATTGCATTGTATAATGACATTAGATAGCCAGTCTAATCGCGATCACCAGCTAAATAACATCCTGTATTGACTAATTAATATAATTAAATTGTAATTATTAAATAAATATTTTTTTAATCAAAATCCCGACCGCCGAAACATAACTGGCGCAGTCGGTAGGATTCGCGACGCTCGAATTTCGAATATACCTCTTCGGGACAAGAGTGACGGTTCTTAAATCGTTCCTTCGCGATCCGCAACGAACCTATCGTGCGGTCGGACACCTTTATAATCATCGGGATAAATCTTCCGGAGAATTGGAGGAAGCTGCGCTGATTGAGAAGAGACTCGACAGGAGATGCAGTGGCTATTTTGGTAAGTACTCTCGTTTTACCAAGTGTCCTTGCTCTATTTCCCGTCTTAGTTTATATGTGTATTTTATTATATTGATAAGTGTCTGTCTATAAGCTATAATCGCAGTAGGCAACCACTCGTAATTTCTTAGAATAAACTCAGGTGTAGAATTACTCACATTGTTTCGCACCGAGTGCCACTAGACAGTTAAGTTACAGAAGTACAATGTCGCTCAGAGATTATGATGCGAACTATAAACCATATAAACTTATTGCAGATTTAATGCCAAAATATGATGGTAATCCTAGATTATTGAACTATTACATTAGAGAGGTAGAATGTCTATTAAATTTAACTAGTGAAGCAGATCGTTCACATCCAGCATTAATATGTTTAATTAAGAGTAGGCTCAGTGGTACGGCCTTGGATGCAATAGCATATGAAGATAGTCTTAATTCGTGGACTGCCGTTAAAAATGCGTTAATTAGACGTTTAGGAGAACCACGTAATGAAATCCAGGTTATGCAGGAGCTCACTAGAGTACGTAGGGCTAAGACAGAGGACGCCGAGACCTTCGGTAAACGTCTTCGTGAGTTATTAGATACCCTTTATTCAGTAGGTGAGCACGGCAACAAATCATACTATGAGAAGATGGTTATTGAGCAATACGTCAACCAGTTAGACTTCCACGTGTCTCTAGGTGTAAGGATAGCCAAACCAGACACCTTCGAAGCAGCTATCATAACGGCTAGGCAAGAAGAGGCTAGGCTTGCATACAATAGACAAAGCTATTTTAACCCTTCAACGTCTCAAGCGAAACCAAAGGAGTTACCTAAACCTCAAACTAATAATAACCCCCTTCGTAACCAAGTAAATCCATTCGCACAGACTAACTTCGGTAACCAACCAGTTACCCCATTTATACCCCAACCGAATTTTGTACCTCAACAAAACAACCTTACCCCCGAGCAACGTCAGCAGTGGATTCAATCCATGTTGCCATGGAAGAACAGACCATCATCAGGTAATTTCAGACCAAATGGTTCAGGCAATTTTAGGAGCGGAAACTTTAGGAACCAGCCTAACATTCCAAAACCACCGGTTCCCACGCCCGTGTCATCTGACGTTACAATGCGTACGGCAGGTAAGCCAGAAAAACCACAGTTTGTTTCTCAAGAATTATTCTACATGCCAAGTCAAATAAACACTCAGGATCAACTAGGACCCAGTGATGAAGATTACTCTAACCATGTCACTGATGGTAATGACTTAACTAGCTCATACCAAAATATGACCTTGGATGAACAAGAGGTAAGTTACGATCAGGATTTTACCTTGGATATCAACCAAAACAACCGGACCTAGTATCGATTAATTTTCAAAACAAGAAATTCCTACCATACATTATAATACCAGAGTTCGACGGTAAGTTTCTATTAGACACAGGTGCTAGTCACTCTACCATAGCAACAGACGTTATCGCAGGTACTATATTCGAGTACTGTGTTGAAACCGAACTCTTTCTTATTAAAACGGCTCATAGTTCATCAGTTCACGATAAGGTAGTGTATCTTCCGTTACCTCCCGCGTTTAATAGTGATATAACACATAAATTTTTAATATTCGATTTCGACCCTAAGTATAAAGGAATTATTGGTTGTGACCTTCTACAGAGATTAAAGAGTAACATTGATTTAAATAATAACGTGCTACGTACATCTACAGCGGAAATTCCTATACACTTTACTTCGCCACCCCGTAAGATATATGTCGACTCTAGATGTGAAAAGTTAGTTAAGGTGAAAACTAATTATTCGGACGGACAATACTTACACGACGACTTTGTATGGTCAGACGGTCTAGTATCTCCCGCAGCTATAGTTAACGTTATCAACGGTTCTTTTAACACATCGGTAATTAATTACAGTGACCAAAAGAAATGTATTCCGGTTAACCCGTCAATTGAGCTTGAGTCATATTCACACTCTAATAAAATTAATATTTGCAATATTAACAGCGCACAAATACAAACTGATATTGATCAAATATTAGTTGAGAACCTTAAGAAAATTCAGACGGATCACATGAACGAGGAAGAAAAACGAGAAATAACCCGGTTATGTTATCAGTACAGGGAATTATTCCATTCAGAGGATATTCCACTCACCTTTACGCACGCTGTCAAACACGAGCTTAGACTAAGCGATGAAACTCCAATATTTGTACGAAATTATAGGCAACCCCCTCAACAACGTGAAGAAATTCGTAAACAAGTAGATAAACTTCTCCAACAAGGTGTAGTACGAGAGAGCATATCTCCTTGGTCATGTCCCGTTCATATCGTCCCTAAAAAGCCAGATTCATCAGGCAACATAAAATGGCGACTTGTTATAGATTATCGTCGTCTTAACGATCGAATTATTGAAGACAAGTACCCCTTACCTAATATACATGATATATTAGATAGATTAGGGCGTGCTCAGTATTTTACCACACTTGATCTCGCTAGTGGATATCATCAGGTTGAAATGCACCCCAATGATATCGAAAAAACTGCGTTTACTACTGAACGAGGTCATTACGAGTTCCTTAGAATGCCCTTCGGACTTAAAAATGCACCCAGTACATTCCAAAGATTGATGGATCACATTCTAAGAGGCATCGATAATGTTTATACGTACTTAGATGACGTAATAATAATATCCACCTCATTGCAACAACACGTAGAAAAACTTAAACAAGTATTTGACCGATTCAAAACACATAACCTAAAGATTCAACTAGATAAATCACAGTTCTTACAAAAACATGTTAATTTTCTAGGTCATGAACTAACAGATGAAGGCTTAAAACCAAACAAAGATAAGATAAAAGCCGTATTAAATTTCCCACTACCTAAAACTCAGAAAGAAATCAAAGCTTTCTTAGGTTTAGTTGGCTATTACCGAAAGTTCATCAAGGACTTTGCCAAACTTACCAAACCAATGACCCTTTGCCTTAAGAAAAACAGTAAAGTAATACATTCCCCTGACTTCTTAGAAGCTTTTCATAAGTGTAAACAAATTTTAACTAACGCACCGATACTGCAATACCCCAATTTCGATGAACCCTTCATACTAACTACTGACGCATCCGATGTAGCTCTAGGTGCAGTGCTATCACAAGGTGTAGTAGGTTCTGATAAACCAGTCGCCTTTGCGTCTCGTACACTTTCAGATACCGAATCCCGGTACTCTACAATAGAAAAGGAGCTTCTCGCTATTATATGGGCAATTAAATACTTTAGGCCTTATCTTTACGGCAGAAAATTTACAATCTATACAGATCATAGACCACTTACCTGGTTAATGTCACTAAAGGATCCTAATTCTAAATTAACGAGATGGCGTTTAAAGCTCGCGGAATACGACTATAATGTTGTATACAAGAAAGGTCGTCAGAATACCAACGCAGACGCTTTATCACGTGTTAAAATCTTTCACGGTAGTATGGATTCGTTAGCGGTTAATCTAGATGATAACGATGATGACGAAATCATAAATAGAATATTTGAAAACGCACGTAGGGAAGCCGAAAATGAACAAATGGAAATAGTACCTAACGAAAATGTTCAACCACCTGACCCAAGTCCCGCATCTCATATGGACACAGGATCAGATAGTATGAGTATAGTGTCAACAGAACCTGAGTTAGTCTCTACAAGACATACCCAGCCTGACAACGAAAACAGAGGTATACCCATAACTACGGACGCTATTGATAGGCAACTTAAACAATTTCATATTCGATCAACCCCCGGTTCCACTTACAGAGTAGACAACAGGTCCACGAATTCTAAAATTGTTATAAAAGATGTATTTATCCCAATCAATGACACAGAGTCAGAGATAGTAAGATTCCTTAAAGAACATACTATAGCTGATCGCGTATTCCATTGTTACTTTCATAATGAAGATTTATACCCTGTCTTTTCGAGAGTTTACACTACAATATTTAATGACAGAGGTCCCAAATTATTCAAATGCACTTCTCGCGTAACTTTAGTCGAAAACCAATCTGAACAACAAGACCTAATTAAGAAATACCATGAAGGAAAGACAGTTCACCGCGGTATTCAGGAGACATACAAGCAGTTGCACAGAAATTATCATTGGCCCAATATGCTTCTTACTATCCAAAAATACGTAAACCAATGTGATACATGCTTAAAGTCCAAATACGAACGCAACCCTCTTAGACCACCATTAGCTATTACTGACACCCCGCGTAAACCTATGGAACACATATTCATGGACCTATATTCTACAGGAGGAGCAACATTCCTTACAATTATTGATAATTTCTCCAAGTACGCTCAAGCAGTCCCATTAACAGCATCAAGTAGTGTTCACGTAGCTGAAGCATTACTAAATGTCTTCTCAGTGTTAGGTCTACCAAATAAAATAACTACGGATTCCGATACTAAGTTTGATAACGATGTCATTAAGGAAATATGCGCACTACATAATATTCATATACATTTTACTACCCCATATAACCCTAATTCTAATTCCCCTATCGAACGCTTACACTCTACACTAGCTGAACTAATTAGAATACAAAGAATGACTAACAAAGATGATCCTATTCAGTTAATAATGAAGTATTCTATTATAGCTTATAATAACGCTATTCACTCAGCAACTGACTATACACCTCACGAGTTATTATTCGGACATACAGCATCTAGAAATCCATTAGAGTTGTATTACCCAAAAGAGTTTTACCAGGATTATGTTATTAAGCATCGTGCTAATGCCGAGGCTGTTCAAGAGTGCATCACAGCACTCATGTCTAAGAATAAGGAGCAGGTAATTGCTAGGCGCAATCAAGAAGCAGAAGAAATAAGATTTAAGGTAGGTGAAACTGTTTATAAGCAGGTAGCCAAGACAGCTCGAGCAGATAAAACCAAGCCCGTCTTCAAAGGACCTTACAAGATTCTGCACTTACACCCTAACAACATAGCTGAGATAATAGGTAATCATCCCAACTCTAAATCTATTAGAGTTCACTTTAAGTTACTACGGAGGCCTCATCTTGTTACAGGACCTTCATCGCCGGAGCCCTCGTGCTCAACGCAACAGCAATCGTAACCCTTGACCCTGTAGGAAATGATAATGGTATCCTTCTCCTCAAGCAAGGTCAACTCCTTAAACAGGACAACTACTTTAGTCTCGCTTGCGTATACAACATAAGTGATTTGCATTTAACATCTATCGAACTTATGTCATTATATGCGAGTACAAAAGCAGCTGAAAGTACAGAGTCTGGAACGTTACATAAAACGTACAGAAATCAAATAGAATATAGTTTTAGTATTATAGGTAGAAAGATTAAGTTTTTAACGCCGCAAGTTAGAAGCGACGCGGTCTTATAGATGGATTAGGTACTGTAGTTAAGTCTATAACAGGAATCTGGATCATGAAGATGCAGCTAAGTTTGAATAGAAATATCAAACATAAGGAACAAAGTTAAAACTACTCAAGATTTGCAAAGAAAGTCTTTAATTTTGGCTCATAATACAATAGATGAGTTTAGTAAGCAGTTAACTAAACTAAATAATAACCAGAAAAATTTGGCAAATTTATTGAGAAACATTACTAGTAATTCCAATGATGTAGCTAACCACTTACATTTCTTAGATATTTACGTACAGATAGATTTTAGTTTACAGATCATTCTTGATAGATTAATGTTGTTAGAAGATGCCATGACGTTCGCTCAAATGGGCACCATGCATCCTAGTATTATAAGTCCTCAGAACCTTATAGAAGAACTAAGGAACTTAGAGAGTATGTTTAAATTTAGACCAGTAGCTAGTATTAGCCTTAGTAATATGTATACGATAGAACGGTCGATTAAGGTTAAAGCTTACAGTACAGAACACTCTGTCAATTTTATACTTGAAATCCCTTCAGTCGCCCAAGAAACCTATGACCTTATTCATCTCTTTTCTATCCCAAATAAAGACAACCTAACTATTATTCCTAAGTCCAAATACCTTGCACTTGGCAACGATGAGTACGCTTACCTGGAAGAAGCCTGTCAGCCACTTACCGACAATATCCAGCTGTGCAAGCTCCTGGACACCAGAAGAATTGAAGATGCAGATGACTGCATACCGTCTCTCATTCAACATCGCCCAGCAACTGTACACACGCTAAGATGAACTTAAGAAGAGGAAAAGTTCAGAAGATTGAGATAACAACTGGCTACTTGTTCTCAAAGAAGATGAAGTTATCAAAACTCTATGTCATACTAAAACAGACTACAAAAAGTTATCTGGAATCTATCTTATCACTCTCACAGAAGATTGCCAGATGAACGTCTTAAACAAAACTCTGCGGTCTCACACGGACACTGTCGTCATTAATGAAGTCATACCTTTACCGGAGCAGCATCAAGTTTTGCAACAATCTATACAGTACGAGCTGCAGTTAGAAGACATCTCACTTGATAGCATCCACGAACTTATAAACAAAGCAGGCGACATCTCCGTGCCAGAAGATGACGATTGGCCAACTATCACAGCATCACCTAGCTGGACCACAATCGTACTCTACATACTACTGATATCTGCAGCATCCTGGAAGCTGTATCAATGGAAAATCTCCAATAATAAGAAGATCCCGGAGGACACCAAGGGCAGCGAGGACGCAGCCAGAAGCAAGAGTTGCTTCTATCCTATGGAGGGAGGAGTTAACTCATCGTAACCCACCATTTCGAACCCTTTTGATGATATAGCAGCTAGGGCTTTATGCAACTCAGCATTTACTCAATTTACAATTGCATTGTATAATGACATTAGATAGCCAGTCTAATCGCGATCACCAGCTAAATAACATCCTGTATTGACTAATTAATATAATTAAATTGTAATTATTAAATAAATATTTTTTTAATCAAAATCCCGACCGCCGAAACATAACTCGAGTTCTGTTGGTTTTTTTTTTATTGAAGTTTTGAGATGGACATGTATGTGGTATGTGCGACCGTGGCTGTGTCCGCTTGTCGGCGTCGTGTCGCGGCGCGGGCGGCGGCGCGGCGTGCAGCGCGGCGCGCCGGTAGCGCTCCAGCGACAGCTCCATCGGCACCGCGCCCGTCGGCTCCACCTCCTCCGCGAACACTGCACTGTCTGAACACGCCACTCTGGTTAATTTCTATCTCATGTTTAATATAACATACTTTCTTAACCGTAAATTACGACTGATGGATTGAGCTTGAGTAACGTCTTTCTAGATTAAGGCGCCTTTCAGCCAAGTGGGCATTGGGTATTAGAGAGATGTTGCAGTGGACAGAAATAGCCTGATGATGATAATGACTAACAAGTGAAACAAGTAAAGGGTAATGGGTAAGTTTAATAAATTAATAAGATATTTCTTACCAATGAGCAGAAGTCGCACATGCTGCATGAGTGGTGAGAGGTGATGGCAGACGCGGGCCCTCTCCTCCTCGGTCCAGTGCGCCGTGGGCTGCGTCACGCCAGCTCGTTGCTTGGCCCAAGCTAGAGCACAGCGCCACACTTCTTCCTCCTCAAGGCATAGCTGAAATGACACAGAAATAGTTATAAAATTATCCATAAAATAAAACTCGTTGTCTTTTATTAGTTCATTAGTAGTTTCAGTAAGTAAAATTAAAACAATTTAATATTTCTATAAGAATAGAAATAATATTTCTATTTGGACACAATGTAAATATTGAAATAGCGCCATCTATTGGGCAGTAGCGGAACGAATATGAAGGTGATACTTGCATTTTCGATTAATTTAGGCAGTGATACATAGATGGCGCTAAAGTACATAATCAGATTTAAAAAGTAAGAGACGTAACGAAAGGAATTTAAAACAGATACTAACAAAATCAGACGAAATAAGTTTGATAAGTGCTTCCTTGGGCAGGTTGAGGAAGGCGTTGGTCTTGACGCAGTCAGCGGCGTTGTCGCCTATAAACGCGATGCAACGCTCCATGAAAGACGACGCACTCTTACCACCTGTTGAGAGACGGTAGGTACTTTATTATTTCTGGGCAACTATTGTCTTTTTAAATCTTTATTTATATTACCTATGTATTTAAGTGTTAGTGGTTATGACAGTAAGGCCGTGTAAGACAATTGTAATTAAAACATAGGTTAACAAGAATAAAAAAAAACAAAAACTATTTTTAACTGTGCTGAAGTAAGAGGTTCCCAAGTATGAAAAATTGCAGTAAATTATGTAAATATTCATTACATTCAGCATCTATTTTGCAATGAAGACTAGATAAACGCACAGGTCGGTGTCCAAACAGACAAATTATAGCATTTCTGAAATAAGAGATAGGTACTTAAGTATAAATGAATTCATTTTTATATTTTTCATTTCACACACATATTTTTAAATCTAAGTAGTTGTGGACATTAGACGGCTAACAAGATAAAACTCAACCTGAATCAGACCCTTTTAAATATGGAACTAAGTTCAGAACCAGTACAGCAGTAAAGAGTTGATTGCTCATTGTGTATGTAAAATGTACTCATTAGTGATACTTACTTTACCATCATTTGTAGATCAAAGTTTGAAATACAATCAATATGAATATTATTTTACATTCTTTACATTACTGTCGCAGTCCCAGATAAATTAATAGTTACTACATAATCGCAGTACCTACACTGGAAACTATCAGGATTGATTTTAAGATATTTTTCTTATTGTAGTGGAAATTGTCCTGAATAATTGCCTACTATGGGCTATCTATGTAACTGTTAGTAACGCTAAAATGTGGTGAATACAGGTGAATAAATATTGAGAAAATGTTCTAATATTGATTCACCCCAATTCTGTATCTATTCACTCCGTTTTATGGTAGCTCTAAATTATTACTACTTACTCTTGCATTATCTGCACGTCATACTAGTGAACACTATTCAATTTTATTTCCTGCATCATCTTTTAGATGAATTAGCAGCTTGAATGCCAGTAACACATTGGATGCCGTCTGACACTAGCGGAGGATCAGCCTTTAATAGTTTTGTTGGCAGCTAAAGCCATCATCTTTTAGATGAATCAGGAGCTTGAATGTCATATAATGAAAAAAAATTGTAATATCTTTCAGTTGATTATGGAATTACACATTTTTCCCAATGCACCATGCTGTAAACAGAGGGCTCCTAATACAAATACTTATGAAGGTGCTTTTTCCACATAAATAGTCTTACAGACTAATTCATTAATTAAAGTATGGTAACAGTCCCACTTCATATTGTGTACAACCTGCACTGTAAATATTGCATAATTATGTGCATCTACAGCCCCTCATTCAAGCCTAAAAGGTGTGATGTCATTCACTCACAGCATACTTACCCTTATATCATTAATATCAACTGTATGTTTGTAATACATTTGGCCGTGAACCTCACCATTCCTCAGTTTTGCACTCGCAGTAGTGTACCAGTATTTGATTTGCAAATTTTTGTGCCAAGAAGACTGCTCTCTATTTAGTATATGATAGTGATATTGTAGTGTTTTTAAGTATATATTAATAATATTATTTAATAACACTGCAAACTTAGTATCTATCTCTTAACATGAACATAAATAGATTTGGAGAAGAACATTGATTTTTCTTGACGCAAACTGCTTTACAACTTTACTAAATTTTAACTGTAACTCAGTTTTTGTTACAAATTATTTTATAACACTTGGTAACAGTTTGTTATTACTTATGTGTGATCAGTGTGGTATTATTTTACCTGGGTAAGTAGATGGAAATAAAAATCGTCTGACAATTTAACCTTAACTTTAATTATGTAAACACCGTTACAATAAACTCACATGAACACTGTTTAAAAAATAAAAAGGATTTTCTTATACCTTGCGGAATGAACTTATAACTAATACTTCATAACCTATCAAACAGACGCACTCGGGTTTACGTTTTGAATTAACGTGATATTGTCCCCTTTCATCATTATTCTTCCGATTTGCTTCCTATTCTTGGTCTTCATGTGCACTTCTTCAGCTTCATCTAACACAATGTTCATGTATTCGTCAAATCCCACGATGTGTCCCTCGATTCGTAGATTCACGTTCTCGTACAGCCAAATTTGCACTCGACTTCTGTTTTGCAAATACCTGAAGATAAGGTTGATGGGTTGCACCATCACCTTCTGGACTTTTGGTGGGCCTTTGTATGCCATTTTGAATTATATTCTTTCGATAAAATTTAGATTTATTGTCACAAACAAAATGCTAGCAAGTCCGGCTTGGCGGCTTTCAATCTGTCAAAATGTCAATGTCCAAGATTTGTCTATGGTCGGAATGACGCCTGCTTTTAGGGTTGTCAGTCGTAAAATATTGGTTGATTAACCATCCAGCTTAATCGGAAATATTTTTTTAGTATTTTGCCGTTTTCGTCAATAAATATTATCAAAAATAAGAATGGAGAAGATAATGAATTTTAATCAAAATATTTTCAAATATTACGCGTGATGTGTTGATGTGCTAAATAGACCAGAGGTTACTAAAACAAGAAACGGGAATAGACTCAAGACGCCAATAAAACAAAAAAAAAACTAACAAATAAAAAAATGTTTTCGATAAAATAAACAATATATTATCCTAAAACCACTATGTAGGTATCGTTCGTTGTGATTGTGATTTAGTTCCGATTTGTTATTTTGTTTCTCTTCTGAGTTTTTAAAATCATAGTAATCCTAAACTACATAAAAAAATAACGCGATTTTTTGGTTTGCGGTTAAAAATATTTATATTTGAAGATAAAATAACATGAATTGCTTGCAAACACACTGTATATCTTAGAAAAAGAAAGTTTGTAGTATCAAAAAGTGTGCGATGGCCGGGAATCGAACCCGGATCAACTGCTTGGAAGGCAACTATGCTGACCATTACACCACCATCGCACTTGTGAATATGAGTGAAATCTCAGTTCACTATTAGATACGCAAGATATTACACACTAAAAGATAATATTTACCTGGTCGATCTTGAATTTCCATTGCTGCTGCTAACAATGTGCACGCACTTTCTACACTCAGCGTTGATGTGACATGATCTTCACACGCTGATCTGAGATCTTCTACACCTAAATCGGCTGCTAAAGTCATCATTTCAAAAACCCCTGAGTCTTGCAGCAAAAGCTAGAACACATTATTATTTATTATTTTGAGAATGCATTTTTAATACTAATTTTTGCTCTAGTGTAGAATAGCGTCATCTAGGCGTATGTTTTATAACTACGTTACTCTTTCAGTATTATAGGAAGTCAATTATTATGTAAACACTTAATTACATAGTTACATAATTTTAATAGGATTGAAAAAAAAAACCGTGGCTCACCTTGCCAGTGTAAACATATTGAATAAAAAGACGAAATGTTTCAACTTGTACATGCGGCATTCGGATCGGTGTCGGCTGCTGGCCGATAGATGGCGTTACGGAACACCCTGGAATACGACAAACTTCGCCTCGTTTCGTGTTCTGAAAACTTTTGCATCTAGAAAGAAAAAACAAATAAGTCCATTAGATGGTATTCGGGAGTAACTTGTAAGCTCACAATTTGCCTTTATTTTCATAAACAATTTTAAGGTTCCAACTTTCCAGAGAGTCTGAACCTAAACGTAGTTTAACAACTAAAGTAGTAAAGTAGTTTAATATTACACAAAGGCGGGAAGCATCTTGCAGTCGGTAATTAAAAACCGATAATCTCCTCTGAGGAAATTATAGCGCAGTGCGCAGATAGCTCCCTAGGAAAAACTTAAAGTTGTCAAGAGGCGCATAACTTGTAAGTTCTCGTAAGTTATGCAAAAGCTAGAAGCGTGGAGAGCAACCGTTTAAAATAGCGCGTTAGTAGGTAATAACTTAGTCGACGGAACACAAAGTTTTAATGCGATTTAGGTAGGTACAAGTAAAAGCTTTGACACTATTATCGGTCCACGTTGAAAGTATCTATGTAATAGCTGATTTAATTTAATATTCTTGTACGATATGTGTCGAACATTCATTTATTAAGGATATTGCACGTAAATGATAATCAAAGAAGGTGAACAAAATTAGTAAACTGTACCGCTGTACGGTAAGCTGATACGTCAAAAGATATAAAAAAGTTTTAATGTAAATATTTAGGTTGGTACCCAGTCCAATGGCTGATGGATTACGCGTATATTAGTGGCATGTTGTCATGGCGGCTTCACGACAGGCTCGTTATTTAGTGTTGATTAGACAAGCCCGCCCAGCCTCTATCTCTACTGATTGGATGTGCCATTGACTAAATTCAATTTTCAACTTAGTTCATTCGGCAGCTTTGATTTATCACCTTGTTTGCGTAATGTTACGATAATTGGACGAGTTCAGAGACATACGATATGTTATCTCATTTCATATTTAAGGAGATATTAAGTGTGGGCGAATCATCCTACGGCACGAATGGGCCGGCTTGACTGGAGTGGTACCACGGCCTCACAGAATACCGACGTGAAACAACGCTTGCATTATGTTTCGTCGTTTGAGCGAGGTTACCGGAGCCCTAATTACACCTCCAACAATCCTCAAATTCCTAATCCTCAGAAAGTCTCTTGTAACGCCTCTGGGGTTCCGCCAGGTGTTCATGGGCGACGCCGATTGCTTACCATCAGGTGATCCGTCTGCTCGTTTATCGTCGTTATTCCATAAAAAACACGTTTTGGTAATGAAGAAATTTGATATAGTAGATATATAGTAACTTGGAGTTTTTAAACTCTTAATATTTCGGTTAAAGCCGGAAAAATTCAATTCAAAGTTCAAACATTTCCAAAATTCGTACCGTTTTCAAGAATTTCCTTAACATTTATCCTCATGAATGTTTCACGTTTTGTTTGTCTACGACTAAACGCTTAAGAAGGGCCGTTGAAGAGGTTCGCCGAGGATCGAGAGCAAATAAAAAATGTTGAATGTTTAAATATATAAGAGACGCTTGCCTACATTTCTTAGGTCGTATTCGATCACTTATCTCGTGTTAATAATAGATGGGATCCAGGTCTGCAGTATTAGCCAGGTCCCAGGAGCGGCAGCCATTAATGTGAGGAGCCACATCGTGTGGTCGCGGCCGCTGAATATTTCAACGTGTTTTGTCCGCGTTAACGACGTTTACATCAACATCTCGAGGGACTTATGAGGATGTAAGCACAGCTGATTTTGTAAGCTATTTTGCAAACAAGACTGAGCACTGTGCACTACTAAATACATAGGTACTTAGATAACTATGCTAAAATGTTCCACTGGATGCGATTGTGAGTAAAACACACTTTTACATAATTTTTTTACTGTTATTGGTCAGTAGGCATGTGTTTGTATTTAAGTACTATTAATAATAATTATTTTATTTTTATTTTATTTTATTGATTTGGCTCACCAACAATTGATTACACTTATACAATATAGGGTTACATTTACGAAAACTTAAATACTAGTGCATCAATCTATTATAGGTAAGCACAACATGCATTATATACTTAATGGTTTACAAATCACTATGATCAGGCAAATCCAACCATTGACATGGATTTAACATTCAAAATAACTAAGAAGAACTAGTATCGGAGACGAATTGAATATTAAACTTAAAATTTAAAATTTACGGTACGTACAATAAAGACAATTGATACTTACAATGAGAACATAAATAGTAGGCAAAACAAAAAGTGAACATAAGGACAAAACAAATAAAAATAGTTACATTCGGGCAACATCACCATAAAGAATCAACTTAACCTTTACGCGAAACTTGCCAAGCGAGTCCAAATGCACATCAACAAGGTCACTATAGCTATTCAGCAACCTGCATAGACGAGGGATCGGAGAATTAGCACCAAGTACAGTCCTGCGTAGTGGAGGACACAATGGAGTTATAGGCGCTCGTGGATTTTTGGAGGGTACACGGATTCTGAGCTTGCTCAAAAGCTGGGGACAGTCAATATGATATCGCAAGATTTTGTATAAAAATAATAAATCTAGTGAGTCTCTTCGTTTTTGTAGGGATATCATTTTGAAGTGACTCAGCCTCTCATCATATGACGGCTTCTTATTAGCTATACCAGAAGAGTACGCTAAGTGCCACAAAAATCTTTTTTGAACCCGCTCCAGTCTCAATGTGTGGGTGGCATAGTGTGGTCTCCATACAACGCTACAATACTCCAGAGAGCTACGAACCAGACAATTATAGAGAAGTATTTTAGTCTGATTCTGGCGAAAGCAAGTAACATTTCTGATGACAAACCCCAGCATTCTAGATGCTTTTTTAACTGTATTTTCAATGTGAGGAACAAACGTTAACTGACCATCAAACATAACTCCTAAATCTCTCATCTGATCGACTTCCTGCACCAAGCTTCCACCGATGTAGTATGCAGATCGCATATATTTAGTTTTTCTGGTGAACTTCATATGGTAGCACTTATTAGTGTTCAAATTCATACCATTGTCATCACACCATCTTACCAATCTATCAACATCCCTCTGCAGCAACTCAGCATCAAGATTCGACTCAATCTGTCTGCAGAATTTTAAGTCATCCGCATACATGAAAGTCTCAGAAAACTTAAATTCCGCTGCGAGATCATTGACAAATAAGTTAAATAACACTGGGCCGACATGTGATCCCTGAGGAACGCCCGATGTGACGAGGTAGGAGCCAGATCGGTAACCATTGAGAGCGACAAAGAAGGTACGACTATCGAGATATGACTCAAACCAATCAAAGAGCGAGCCAGTGATTCCGTAAGATTTCAATTTATACAAGAGTATGTTATGAGGGACACGGTCAAAGGCTCTACTAAAATCGGTATAGATCACGTCAACCTGTCCCCCCGCATCAATGGCACCTACCAAGGTCTCCGTGAACGACACCAGGTTCGTACATGTGGATCTGGAGCCCACAAAGCCGTGCTGAGAATTTGCAAGGTAAAGCTTTAAGTGAGACTGGATGTAGGGTGTTATCAGCGATTCGAATACCTTAGCGAATGTAGACAATATCGAGATAGGTCTATAGTTGCCCACAAAATTACTATCACCACATTTGTGAATCGGTACTACTTGAGCCACCTTCCATTTATTTGGAAACATGCCAGAGGTAAGCGAGTGGTTTATTATTTGCAGTAAGGGGGCTGCCAGAGAAGAAGCACACTTGGAAATAAAGTAAGGAGGAATTCCGTCGGCTCCTGCACCTTTTCGACAATCCAAAGACTTCAATTTATTGAGCAAGGTATCTATGTCAATTATTGGTGCCATCAAAGGTAAACTGTAAGTTGACAAAGTCTGCAAATACTCTGTGGGACGTGAATGATGAGTTACGTCTTGCTCGCTGTACATTTTAGAAAAATGAGCAGCAAACATTTCTGAGATGCTCCCGCCATCTGAAGATGACGCAACACCATCCGTCATTGTTACAGGATAAGAGCTGGCACCCCCTCGCTTGTCTTTGATATAAGCCCAAAATCGTTTGGTATCCTTGGATATCACGTTTTCCAGGTCTCTAACATACCTATTGTAGCAAGAGGTAGCCATAGCAGAGCATCGTTTACTCAGCAACTTTAGTTCAAGCTCATCCATGGGGTTTTGATACACTTTATATCGCCGGCGTATTTTCTCCTTTTCTCTCAGAGTTCGTATTAGATCTTTGTCGAACCAGGGAGGTCGTGATTTATATTTACGTACGGTGGGGGGATTTTGTTTTTCAATGGCGTCGTTGATTTTGCTGTAGAATATATTGAGCATGTCATTAACATCCAGAGTGCCACCAAACAGATGGCACCAATCGATCTCATTCAGATATTCACGAACCTTGTCGTAATCCAACTTATAAAAATTGAGTCTCTTGTTACCATTATACGGCAGACTTGCTTCACTGTAAGGTCTAAAATGTATTTCAATGGGAGGATGGAGAGGGTCAATTTTGCTTAGGGGATTAGGAGCGGAGCAAACAGAGCTGGAAGTCAAGTTAGTCAAAGCAAGGTCAAGTATACGTCCTGACTTATTTGGTATATTATTCAGTTGAGATAAATTGTTCAAATTAAGAAAATCAGTCAACAAAAGACCAATGCCTGGTGCAACATAGCCACTATTAGGCTCACTTAGCAAGTTCCAATTGATGTGACCTAAATTAAAATCACCAATTATACACAGTTTCGTACCTGATTGTTCAAATACAGAGTTACATGAATTCAAAAAGTTTTCCAAGGTTCCATATAGTACAGGCGGAGGCAGATAGACAGCGCACAGAGCCAGTTGACGAACAGATTTAGAAATTGAGATATTCACGATCACCCATACATCCTCGCAGTGGCTTTCCCACTGGGTCATGCGCACCGAATGTATTCCCTTACGTACCGCAATAAGTACACCCCCTCCATCTTTCTTTCGATTATTCCTATCCCGCCTATAAACTGCATATCTACCATCAAATAGCTCTGAACTCATAACAGAATCATTCAACCAAGTCTCCGTTAAGATTATTATATCGTA